CGCCCCTCCCCCACATCCTTCCCCTCAGGTGCACACCGCCCCTCCCCCCTCAAACTGCAGGGCCCCACATGCCCCTCCCCCCTGGCCTAGAGAGGGCGGTGCTGGCCCTCGTGTAGCACCACGTGCCGGGGTGGCGGGAAGTGGCGCCGCCTGCCCGCTTCCTGGACCCCTTTGGGAGGGGCCCTGTCACCCTTTGCACATCCCAGGGCATTTCTGCACATGGGGGGGGCGATGCTTAGCATCACCAGAGCTGCACTTCTGGGCAGCTCTCGCCTTCAGCAGCTTCCATGCCTGAGTCAGCGGGTAGGCAGGTGCACTAACCTGGAAGAGGCCAAGACCACCCGTGTCCAGACACCGATCATCCATCAGCAGCTTTGCTGGACGGGTCAAGTCGTTTAGATGCCAAACCGTAGCCTCTCAAAACAGGCCCTGTTTTCTCAGCTGAAAGAAGGGCATGTAAGGTGGGAGGACAATGGAAGCGTTATAAGGACTTGCTGAAGGATCACTTAAAGAAGTGCAGCATTGGCGTTGACACTGGGGAGATTCTCGCCCAGCATTGCTCAAAATGGAAGAAGTCCTGTGCAATGGCTCCCTGCATTTTGAATTTGCCCACCAACAAGCTGAGGAGGAGAAGAGATGCAGGAGGAAGGGGAGACTGGCTAATAGTCATGGTGAACAGTCTCCAGCTGTACCTGGAAACATCTGTCCTCACTGTAACAAAACTGGTGGTTCAAGGATTGCCCTTATCAGCCACCTGAAGGGCCACAACTTCCATGGAAGATGATCATACTGGGCAATGAGTAGTTGCCATCATGAGATGCCTAGGTCACACAAAGTCAATAGGCTCCTAAAATATTTTTGAAATTGAGAATTAGGCTTCTAAGTCACTTAAGCACTTTTGAAAATGTTACCTGTTAGCTTTATGTATCCAGCCTCTATTCTCAGCCAAGTCTGCTCAGTTTGACCCTTTAACACATTCCCAGACTTCTTCCTTCCTTGGCCAGTCTTTAGGCCAATGATCACCAACCCATTGATCGTGATCGACTGGTCGATCGCGAGGCCTTGACCAGTCGATCGTGAGGTGTTCCGGGCCCCCCAAGTTCCCCCCAACCTCAAGAAGCCCCACTTCCTACCTCCAGCGACATTGGAGGTAGTGGCAGCTTCCCGCAGGGTAGACAGAAGTCGTGCAGCTGCGCATCACTTCTGGGGGTTCCGGAAATGCACTGGCTGCTTCCTTGCCCCAGGTCTGTGGCTTGCCAGGAACTTACCAGGGTAGTCCCCAGAGGCATGCACTGGGACTTCCATTCTCCGCGGGAGGGGAAGTTGGGACCGGAGGGGGCATGTGACGGGAGCTTCCCTTCTCCGTGGGAGGCTCATGCCGGCCCGGGAGGAGGTGCGCATCAGGACTTCTTCCTCCATGGGTGTCGGCCCCAGAGGGGGCGCACGACGGGGGCTTCACTGCTCTGTGGGAGGTGCG